CGGCATCTTCGCCTTTTTCCGGCGCCAGTGCACAGGGCACGACTATAGCAGGGAAAGGGCTTCCCGGGCTCCCTCCCTTTCCCACCACCCTTCCCCCTCCCGAGCCAGAGCTCCACACTCGCCGCGCTTGCACCCCGAGCGGGTCCTGATTGACCGCAATCACCTCCTCGTTTCCGAGCAAGGCCAGCACGTCCAAAGTTGCCCCCCGCAAGTCACAGCCGATCAGAAGCGGCGCCTTCATCACGCACCACAGAGACATGTGCGCCCGGTACTCCTCCAGCCCCATGCCTCCGTTCCCCACCTCCAGCATGTCCGGGTCGTTGAACCCCCCCGGACCCGCGTACCGCCATCGACGCCCGTTGATCTCCACGATCTCCATCACCGAGGACCATTCGTCCCGGATATCCGGCGTGGTCCGCCACAGGTTCGACACCGCCGGCGCCCATGCGCCCGGATTGTCCAGGCCCCATTCGCACATGGAATAGAGGACGGGTCTGCCGGTGGCATTCAGGGCGTCGCGCATGGGCGGGTACCGCTCTTGGGGCGACGTCCCGTCTGTGTGGCAGTTGTCATATTTCAAGTAGTCCACTCCCCATTCCGACCAGGTTTCGGCGTCCCTTCCCTCCATCCCCAAGGACGCCGGAAACCCCTCACAGGTCGCGGAGCCGGCGCTGCTGTAGATGCCAAATTTGAACCCCAACGCGTGCAAGTAGTCCCCCAACCCTTTGATACCCGACGGAAACTTGACGGGGTCCTCCACCAAGCCACCTTCTGCGCTTCGATTTCTTGCCATCCAGCAGTCATCCAAGTTCACGAAGACGTAGCCCAGGTCCCGTAAGCCTGTGTCGATCAAAAGTCGGGCCGTTTCTTTCACCATGGCCTCGTCAATGTCGCAGTGAAACCGGTTCCAAGTATTAAAACCCATAGCAGGGGTCAGTCCCAGTCCATTCGGCAGGGCATTGGTCGTGACAGTGCTGGTGAACAAAAGCAGGGACGGGATCGTAGCGATCACCGATGGAAGCACGCCCGTCGGTCCGGATAGTTTTCGACGCACCATTACCGCCTATGTGCGAACATGCATTATTATGAAGGTAATGATGCAGTGGTGTTTTGTGTCGCAACGACAATATTTGAAAAAAACGGGCAACAAAGAGGCAAAAGAAATGCCAGAAAAACGTAAAAAGTACGCTCCGGCTTGTCAAACAGACCTCAAGGCAATAAGCACTTTTTCGACCAAGCACCTCTGACAAGGACTTTTTCTATCCGTCGACATGCGCACCGTCGATACACGAAGGTTTGTGATGGAAACCACCCTTCGAGGGCTGTAAACCCTCTCAAGTCGCTCGTAAGGGCACGGTAAGGCCGTCCATATATGTTAAGTCCATGAGCATGTGTTCCCTCGACGGAATTCCGAAGAAGCTCGCTTTCTGGTTCGAGGCCCGAGCATGGTCCCCCCTTTTGAGCGGAGTCTCAGCAAGCGGTAGCGCAATATGCACACACGCCTTGGGAGCCTTGCGCATTTCATATCAGTTTATGATAGAGGGCTGGTCCATAAGACGCTGGGACTCATTTTTGTCCATCTGTTTCTAACAGCTGTCCGTTGCTTCTACTGCTTCTAGGCGGGTAGACTAGTGCGAGCATGCCCCTGGAGACCACTATAATATGCGTGGATAACAGTGAATGGACACGCAACGGGGACTACATCCCGACACGTTTTGAGGCGCAACACGACGCGGTCAACCTGGTGACGGGCGCCAAGACACAGCAAAACCCGGAGAGCACCGTGGGGGTTCTGACCATGGCCGGGCGGGGTGTCGAGCTCCTCGTTTCTCCCACGGACGACATTGGGAAGCTCCTGTCCTGCCTTCATAGTGTCAGGATGGGAGGAAGGGTCGACATGGCGGGCGCGGTACAAGTGGCGCAGCTGGCTTTAAAACACAGACGAAATAAGAACGGGAGCCAGCGCGTGGTAGTCTTTGTCTGCAGCCCCGTGGAGGCCGACGCGAAGACATTGGTCAAGGTGGGCAAGCAGCTTAAAAAGAATGGGATTGCTGTAGACGTGGTGAGCCTGGGGGAGATCGAAGAGAACCAGGAGAAGCTGCAGGAGTTCGTGGAGGCGACCAATAGCAACAGCAACTCCCACCTGGTTTCCATCCCGGCGGGTTTCCTCCCGTCCGACGTTCTTGTCACCTCCCCTATCATCCACGGCGGGGAGGAAGGCAGCGAGGGCGCTGGGATGGGTGCAGGTGCGGGGGGAGGCGGGGCGGGTTTCGGTGGAACTTCGGGACTCGGAGACTTTGGAGGCGTGGACGCGCAGAGCGATCCGGCCTTGGCCATGGCCCTGCGAGTCTCCTACGAAGAGGAGCGGGCGCGGCAGGAGGCGGCAGCAAAGGCGGCGGCGGCGACAGAGGGGGAAAACGAGGGGGAGGCGAAGGTAGGGACGGGGCGGGCGTGGATTAGGCGACCGGGGGGGGAACACACGATTCCCAGGTGGAGGTGGCTATGGAACGCACGAAGGG